ATCATTAAGGTTGGAAAAAAGCTCTAAGACCATCAAGTCCAACTGTCAGCCCACCCCCACCATGCCCACTAACTATGTCACTCCAATCATCCTTTCCTCCATCCAGACAGCAGCTGGCTTTCCCCACATCTCACCTCCTTGCACAACCTCCTGGGTACCATTGCTCTGCTATGTCAGCCTGGCCCTAAAACACCACTTGTGCCTATCAAAAGTGAAGTTCTGGAGAGCATTATGGAGAAGCAGGGACGGGTGGTGGATCTCCATCTGCCTTAGTGTCCCTGCTGCAGGGATGGCCCTCCCTGGCTTCCATCCCACAACAGTAAGGGAAGGTGCATTGTCTGCCTTGAATGACCACCAGCATAGAATCACAGACACATTTGAGTTGGAAAAGACCTTCAGTATCACCAAATCCAACCATTGACCTGACCTACTAAATCACAGAATATCATCAAGCTTGGAAAAGTCCTCTAAGACCATCAAGTCCAACCCCAGCCCATCCCCACTATGCCCACTGACCTTGGGCTCTCAGCATTACACCTCCATGGTCCTGGAACACCAGACTCCATCACCTCCCTGGGCAGCCTGAAACACATCCCCATTCCTTGTTCCCTTACAATTCCTTGCATTGTAGGGGGCAGAGGACCATGATCCCAAGAGCAAGAGAGACAGGGCAATGTATGTGGTGGGATATGTAGTCCTCCCATCCTTATGTCTTGGGTGGGATGGTTTTGTTAACACTCCAAGTGCTTGTGAAGGGCAATGCTGGGGATATAATTAGGGCAAGGTCCGTAGGGAGCACAAAGAGCTTGTACTAGATCAACTGATATAATTAGAAAGCAGGGACAAGGAGATGAGCTCCTGTGCCCACGGCTGGTCTATTTTTCCCATCTCCAATTGGGCTAATAGAAGCTGTGACCTTCACGTGCACATCATAGAATAGAATCATACAGGCTGGGAAAGGTCTCTATGATCACCAAGCCCAAGCTCAACCCGCCCCCTCCATGCCCATTGACCACATCCCTAAGTGCCACATCTCCACGGTTCTTCAACACCTCGAGGCATGGTGACTCCACCACTTCACTGGGCAGCTGTGCCACCACCTGACTGCTCTTTCAGATAAGTTTCTCCCTGATATCCAACCTGCACATCTGTTTTGCACATCCCAGCCCCTCTGTGGCACACGCGGACATCCCTGCACGGCCCCATGCCCTCCTGCCTTTCCCCAGCTGGTGGACGTGCAGTCAGAAGTTGCTTATCGCACATTTTTCCTGGCTCAAATCATTATTATTGTTCCTGGTGCTGTGCTTCCAGAGGAAAACATGTCTTTGGGCCACATACCAACGGATTTGGTTAATTCATCACCCGCAGACGCACATATATTTATTTAAAAGCGCCTCTTGTTATGTTACTTGGCAACTTCTGAGCCCAAGTATTTCTCCAGCTGATAAATATTTGGGAGATTGTGTGCATCTGTTAATGAGACCATCAGCTTTCTCCTAAGCTTCCCTGGCCCCATTGCATCTGGGCAGTCCCAGAGCGGTGCAGGGGCCAGCCAGGCTGATGCAGAGGATGCAGGAGATGCTCAAGGGTTGGAAAGCAACTGAAGAAAAAGATTAAATTAAATCATAGAGCAAAAAGTCCAGCTCAGCTCATTAAATAAATCCCTGAGCTACTACTGCTGGAGGATGGAATGCTTTCTTCCAAAGGGGAATCCAAACAATTCACAGCTCTCTGAGCTGTCCCAAAGCTTGAAGCAGGTGCATGAGAAGGGTGGCCACTATAAAGAGACTCCATGCAATAAAAGCAGCAAGATGAGAAAACCCACAGGTTCACTAACAAGACCACATGAAAGGGCAAAACTCAGGTTTCCTGAGATGAAGCAGGGGCTTGGAGGCTCCCACATGGGATACGAGGGGACTTCCACCTCCCTCCAGCTCATGGCTTCAGTCTAACTTGATTATAAGGACATCCTTCCCAATGGCTCATATAATACTCATGTTTTTGCTACTTAAGGAGGCATAGGAGAACGAGGGAAGGCAATTCTGTCCCATTGCCCCAGCCCTAAGGGGACCTGGAGGCACCAGGGTTCCCAGGCATGTGCCTCCATTTCACTTTCAGATCCCTCAAATAATAATAACTGTGTTTGCCAGCTCCTGTGACAAGAATGACTAATGGGGAAAGATCTGCCGAGAAGGGAAGAAAAAAAAAAAAAAGAAAAAGATTTCCTCTTTTCACCCTTCATTTGCTGGATGTCTCTGACAGCCCTAGGCACATCTGGGATTTCCCTGGTGCAATCCTATGGGTTTCAAAAGCCTTAGCACAGCTCCAGAAACACCCTTGTCACACATCAGCTTCCTCAAAGGGACAGGAATCCACTCAGTAAACTTTTTGCAGCCTGATTTACCCAAATTCCTGCTCCACAGTGAGCTATAATGCCACGATTTTCACTGTGCATTTGGAAACCACTCTATTCATCTGCCTTTCTGCAAGGGAATGGAGAGGTGCCCTCCCCACACACCACATCATGGCCTGGACCCTGTGGTGATGCAGCAGAACCTGCAGAGGTTGGGGACACCGGCAACACTAAGAAATGCTGGGGACACTGAGGGAGATGGCAGAGGTAATGGGATGGAAAGCTCAGCAATGACAGCAGAGCAACAAGGTCCTGGGCTACAGCAAGAGAGGATTTGCTCAAATACAATAGCCACAGAAATAAAAGAAAGACACTGCTTACCTTCAGAAGGCCTCAGGTAGGCAGGGATCTGTAGCAAGATACCCTTACCTCCACTGCCAACCCTTAAAGGGGGTTTGGGAAGGGGTGGATCCTGGCTCCACCCTTTCCAGTCACTCAGGTGCATACAACGCACCTGAGCTCCCCTGGGTTGGCTTTGCCTTCCCACCAGATGCTGAATCACTTTTTCCAGCTGTGACAGCATTTCTGCTACAGCAGTGCTGGGGACATGTTGGGGAGATGCTGAGGCAGATGGCAATGTTGGGAATGCTGGAAACGCTGGGGATTTTAGGGTTGTTGGGGACGCGGGGATGTTGAGGACATTGGGGGTGTTGGGGAAGATGGCAGTGTTGGGGATGCTGGGGATGCTGGGGAAGCTGGCAATGTTGGGGACTTTGGGGACATCGGGGATGTTGGGGAAACTGACAGAACTGGGGACTCTGGGGATGCTGAGGATGTTGGGGAAGCTAGCAATGTTGGGGACATTAGGAAAGCTAGCAGTGTTGGGAACTTTGGGGACATTTAGGATGTTGGGGATGTTGAGGAAGATGGTGTTGGGGATGCTGGAGATGTCGGGGAAGCTGGCAATGCTGGGAATGCTGGGGACATGGGGGACACAGCGGGGCTTTATGTGATGTTGGGGACATTGGAGATGTTGAGGAAGCTGGCAGTTTTGCAGACTTTGGGGACACTGAGGATACCGGGGACACTGGGGATGTTGGGCTTTCCTGCACTTTTCAGCCTCCTCCTTTTGGATCTGGGGGATACTCCTTAGGACATCAGCCTGCTGGCCCAGCAAATATTGTCTCGGGGATGGCGGATCCCCTCCGTGAAGCCACACACATCCCTGTGCTGCTCTTTAAATGCCCCACAAAGCCACGGCGCGATTTTCATCCCCTACACAAATCCCTCCCACGCTCCCACATCCCCACGCATGGGACACAGGGGAACCACGCCGTCCCTATGCCGCTCCCCATCTCCTTCCAAACCATTGCAAGCAAATCCTTTCCCCAGCCGGGCTGAACTCTGATGACAGCATTGCATGCTATATATAGCGACAGCGGATCGCCGCTCCATCCAAGCGGGGCCACACATAAACAAACGGCAGCGCGCGGATACCTCTGTGGAGAGGGGATGGTGTGTGATGGAGGAGCCCCCAGACCCCATAGCAAGGATCCCGAGCCCCTGTTTTAATGCCTGGATCGCTCTGCTGCTGGTGTAATGTGGGTTTGAAGATGAAGGATGTGCTGGAGGGTGTTGGGAGAAGAGCTGAAGGAGGCACCAAGGGTTATCCCACGGGGCAGAGGCATCCCCAGGATGGGATCGTGCTGAGAGCTCAGCATCCTTCTGAGCATGCCCTCCCCATAGCATGATGCTGCCAAGGGGTCCCCGGGTTTGGACCCACGGATGGATGGAGGGATACATAGGGGTTGGCACACCCAGATGGGGCACAGTGCTGCACTGCAGCACAGCCCAGGTCTTGCCCTGGCTTTGCCATGGGGCCGTGCCATGGGGCCGTGCCATGGGGACAGATGGAGCCCACGGGGTTGGGGAGCACCCACATCCCTGCCAGCGTGCACCCACCCTTGTGGGTCTGCACGAGCAGCACAGCCATACCCACATCCCCCAGGCGAGGTCCCAAGCTGGGAGCCCCGTGTCCCCCCCATGACCCCCCAATCTCCCCCCCCTCGTCCCTCCCTGCTGCCACCGCTGGGCCACCCAGCGCCGAGGCAGATGACATAATTCCCAGCAGCTGCACACGGAGATCGCTCGGCCCCTTTGCCGAATCCCACCCCAGCCCCTTCCCCTCCAAAATAAGCTCACAAACGAAGGAAGCTGGGGAAGAGGGGAGGCGGGGGGGGAGGGGATGGGGATTTTGGGGGGGGGGGAGGGGTACAAACAGGTTTGCAATCCCCCACCCATCACCGCCCCTCCCCTCCTCGCACTCTATTTTTGGGTGCTGTCATTTCCAAGCAGCTGTGACTTTAGGCACAAACAAGCAGCACCCCCAACCCTCTCCCCTCCCCCCCACCCCCCCAAAAAAAAAATAAATAAAGAAACCAAACAACCCCAAACATTCTCCATCACAGAGCTCCCCCCCAGCTAATTCCTCAGGGGTGGGTGCTTGGGGTGATATCCCCCCTTCTCCCCACACATCTCCCCTCTAATCTCAAAGCCACTTTGGGAGATGCGGGCAGAGATAAGGGGCACCCACCTCCCCCCACCTCTCCCCAGCACCCCCCCCCCAATCCTCCCGCAGCCTTCTCACCAGTATCTCCCAGTTCCTCCCCACCCTTTGCCTTACTGGTGGCGGGGACTCTCGCCGGGCAGAGCTGCGGGGTGGCGGTAGGGCTGAAGCCTGGGGGGCCCCTCCGGCCCCATCGGAGAGCTCTCATCTCATTTCGTCGCGCGTGTCACCCCACGCACACGCACACACACACGCCTCTCGCAGCCACGTTCCCCCCCTTCTTGCGGCAAAACGGCGGCCGGCCCCGACCCCACCCCCTGTCAAAGCTTCAGCCTAACAGCGAGGGAGGGAGGGAGGAAGGATGGAGGCAGAGCTGCTCGCGGGCCCTTTAACCCTTCCCTCTCTGAATCCGCTGGGGTGCAGCCTGGGGACCTCTCCACCCCCCCCTCTCCCCCCCATAGCCTCCTGCTGTGCCTCGCTCGTCTCACGGTACTCGGCCAAAGATCTGAGCTGATTCCCCCAAATCTTCCATACGCCGAGCTGCATCTGGAGTGCTGTGTCCAGTGCTGGGCCCCAGCACGGAGGAATCACAGGATCACTGAGGTGGGAAATGACCTCTGAGATCACCAAGTCCGATCGTCAACCCATCCCCACTGTGCCCGCATGTCACCCAGCCATCCAGGCTGGTCACTTCATCCAGAAGCACAGACACAGCTGCACCACGGTGAGATGGGCTCCAAGTCCCCTCTGGAAGGGGGCGCTCCTGGGTACCTCAAGTGGACAGGAACAGAGAAGCAACCCCAGGTGTCCCCCCCCAGTGGTGGGACATGCTCAGAGGAGGCTCAGTGCAGCTCCACCAGCAACCTATCTGCAGTACAGCTGTAGATGGACACCTGAGGGAAAGCAAAACCAGGACAGTATTTCCCCCCAGCACTCTCCAGTCATCTTCAGTTTAGGGTATTCCCAGTGGGAGAGCTTTTGACCAGCAGAATGAAGGTCTCACTGTACCCCATGTTTGGAGCATCAGCAGTTCCCAACTCTGCTTCCACACTGTTACAAAAGGATGGGTTTTGCAGGGTGCAGGGCTCAGTGAGATGTCCAGGTTAGATATTAGGAACAATTTCTTCTCCAAAAGAGTGATGGGGCACTGGCACAGCTGCCCAGGGTGGTGGTGGAGTCGCCATCCCTGCAGGTGTTCCAGAACCATGGAGATGTGGCACTTGGGAGCACAGTTAGTTCACATGGTGGGGATGGGCTGACAGCCTCTGTAGAAGGATCACCCCAGGCTGGCATTGGAGCAGCAGGTTTTGCAGCTGTTGATCTCTTTCCACAAGTGCTTGATGACGAAGTTGGCTCATGCAGCAGCCCAAGGTGAGTGCTCTGTCCGGGGGACATCGCTGTTCCTCTGCTGTTTGTCACCATCACTGCCCTGCCAGCATCTCGAGTGGACTTTGTTTTCCCTCATCCTCTGAATGTTTTGTGCATCTCGATGCGGTTATCGTGCTCCATCCGTCAGATTGCAGCGAGTCCCAGGGAGAAGGTGCCAACTTTAACATATGCCTGAACAGTTCTTTTCAGACATATACAAACTGGAACAATGCCTCGCTGAGAATATGCTTGTTGATGCAATTTGCCAACTGTGGTTTCAGATCTGCTCTTTTCAGCAAGTACCAGCTATGTGTAGACAGTGCAGAATCTTGGATAGCTGCACTCTGAAGGGCTCTCTGGAAGTTTTCTCCAGGCATGGGTGAGCTAATGGGGAAGAGAGTGTAAGGATGAGTGAAGGCTTCCATGCATATTGCAAATAGCTCTCAGAAAAATGCAGCTCTGCTTCTAGGAACCTCAGTCCCACTTCCCTTTGCTTCTCTCTGCTTTAGGAAGTGGCCAACACTGGTTTCTCTACAAGGATTTAGAATCATAGAATCATTAAGGTTGGAAAACACCTCTTGGACCATCAAGTCCAACCTCACCATGCCTACCAACCACATCCCCCAGTGCCACATCTTCTCAGTTCTTGAACACCTCTGGGGACGGTGACTCCACCACCTCCCCTGGCAGCCTGTGCCACTGCATTACCACTCTTTCAGAGAATACATTTTTCCTAATATCCGACCTGAACCTCCTCTGGGATGATTTAAGGGCATTCCCTATCAAGCAGGACTTTGCTCGGCTCCTCACACCCTCTAGGTTCAGATGCCTTCACCATCAGTCCCCATCATGGAACATGGTTGGTTATTCAATGGGTTGATGGTTGGGCTAGATGACCTTAGTGGTGTTTCCAACCTTAAGGATTCTATGATTCTATGATACCAAGGTGGGTTTGGAGTTGTGTCCAAGCTTGCCAAGCAGGCAATGAAGCCTGCTGGGTCTGATGAGGCAGAGATGGTTTCTCATCACCACCTTTCAGGACGTGGCTCTACTTTTGCTTTCATGCCCTTCAGCTCCCTGGGGCAAAAATCACGCCTCGTTCTTTGCTGATGGAACACCCTGAGCAGCTGTAGGGTTGGCTGTGGGCAATTGGTGAGTCAACCCAAGAGCAGAGGGTCAGTTCTGAATGGCCCATTCTGCACAGAGCACTGCCAAAGGCAATGTGTGTTTGAGGCAGCAAATAATCAAGAGACCATTGTTCATAGCAACCTCAGTGGAAATATTTTTGTGTGTGTATGCATGTGTGTGCTGGCATCCAATTTGGCAATGGTTACTCAGCACTCGTGGGCGGCCTGTCCCTTTCTCTCAGCTGGAGTCTCCTCCTCCTCACAGGGACCCAGAAGAAGGTTGGAACTGGAGCAGATGGTTTGGGGGTGCTCAGAAATACCACTGCCAAGGGCTGTCTCATCACCAGCTCCAGCTCCTCGGTGTGTTGAATGTGCTTGAGACCAAGGAGGTCTCTCCAAGGAAGTGGGGACATGGGGACATGCCAGAAGATCCTGGAGACATCATAGAATCGTTTGACTTGAGGAGGACATTTAAAGTTCACTTAGTCCAACTCTCCTGCACTGAATAGGGGCAACTACAGCTTGATCAGGTGCTCAGATGCTCAGAGCCCTGTCCAGCCTGGCCTTCAGTGTCTCCAAGAACGGGGCATCCACTGCCTCTCTGGGCATCAGCTCTTCGTTGGATTTTGAGAAGGAACAGAAATGGAGATCTTTGGATCTTTGGAGATCTTCCCTACCCACACACAAGAAAATTTAACCTGCCAACACTGAGAGGACGGAGAGACCTTGCTGAGCAGTTTTGCTGTGAAAAAAAGCTTTTGTCCAGGTGAGAATCCAAGGGTGGAAACCTGGATAGTGGACGAACGCTCCATACATCCACACATCTTCGAGTACAACGCAAGATCCACCACAGAAACTCCAAGGCTCCCATTGAAAGCCTCACTGCTGCTCTCATTCCCACAGAAGTGAATGGAGAATGACTTTCTCCTGATCTCTGTCCCCTCCACAGCTCCTGGCACTTTGCTTTCTCCAAAGCAATGCTCTGAAATCAGCCGAGATGAAACGGAGCAGCTCCTACACACCTTGGGAGCTCAGGCAGGGCTGCTTCCCACGCAGTGTCTTTCACCCAAATTAAGCAGCTCTCAGCTGAGCTCTGCCATCCATCACGCCAACCCGCAGGCACAGCTCGCTTTTGGCAGCTTTCTACACATTTTGGTTCACGTTCGGCACAAAACAAGCTGGGACCTTTTTTGTGAACGTGTTGCAAGGGGCACACGAGGCTACAAAACTGCAGGGCCATCCTTGAAATGGCTCACATTGGAGTCAGTGGGAGGCTTGCAGTCATTAAATATAGCCAAGACCTGGGTAACAAGTGCTGTATTCAGACCGCCCACTACAGGGGAAGGATGGATGGGGTCTGTCCCCAAGGGCTGGGTCACTCCTTGGGAGGTATCACTGAGGTATTGGGTTTCCACTGAATAAAACAGCCTGGGGACCTTGGTACAGCAAGAAAGTAAATAACAGCAGGCTTCTCTGGCATCTGCATCCAGAAGGATGAGTGCACTCTGTTGGTGGTGTCTGGATCATAGCATCGCAGAATCATTGAATGGTTTGAGATGGATGGGGCTTTTAGAGGTTATCTACTCCAACCCCTGTGAGATGAATGGGGACATCTATTGCTTGACTAAGTTGTGGTCCAGCCTGACCTTGAATGTCTCCAGCTCCAGGGGCATCCACCACATCTCTGGAAAACCTATGCCAGTGCTTCGCTAGCTGGATCTAGCTAGCTGGATCAAGCCACATCTTGGTGTCTGAATTGATGCATCGCCCTACACTGTATTGGTAGGAGGCCCCTTCAGTGTCTGAAAGCACTGTAGGTGTCCCAGGTTATTACAGGCAAGGAGATGGAATATAGCTTCTGTGTTGGCATCACTCAGTGGAGATCCTTGGTGGAGACCAAAAGCCGTTTTCTCATGTAGGCTGACATCTGTGGTGACAAGTGCCACAGCCCCCCGTTCACATCCAGCTGCTTCAGGTGGGAAACTGAGGTGCTCCCAAGCAACCTGTGCCAGAAACACCTGCACTGTTCATGCCCAGATCCATACTGGGTTTGGATGGCTGCATTTCAGCAGAAATCACCATTGCATTTTTAGCTCTGCATCCTTAGCCAGGGCTAGCAAATCCTCCATCCCCTCGCTGCCTGCTCGCCTGAGAGCAGCCCCAGGGAATGACCTTAGACTCAAACTGCATTAAGAAAGGTCCCGGTGAAGCAAGGCAGCTCTCAGAGCCAGAGTTTGCTGGCAGCCTAGGCAACCGCCTTGGGCTCCTTCCAGCCTCCAGGGAGAAGCACAGTCCCCAGGAATCAATAGCTGAGTGCTTCTAACAGTCAGCAGGGCTTTGGCTTGATCTAAGCCATTCTGTTTGGTTATTTTTCTCTTCTGAAAGCAAACAAGGTCCCTAAATGAGGGTTCTGGATTCAGGCAGCCTGCAGAGGATCAGCCCTGACCCATTGCAAGGGGAGGGTTGGGTTCATGCTGGCTGATCACATTTGTCCCTCTCTTCTCCTGGCCTCTGGAATGCTGAAATCCTATTATGGGAAAGTTGGGCAAATAATAAAAGATCCTATGTGATGCCAACTCTCGTAGCACATGGGAGAGGTAGGCTGAGGGGGTCCTGCTCTAATCTAATCTGGGCCATATAAAGCCCCATGGAATCAGTTAAGGCTGGAAAATACCTCTACAACCATCAGGTGCTCCAAGAAACCTGAAAAAGAAACCCTGAGAAATGTGGTTCATGGCCAGAGATGGCAGAGCTCAGCCCGGTTCAT